ACATAGCATGCGTTGGCTCCGGCACGTTGTGCGCATGCCAGCCCACTGCCTTCCACGTCGAGCGCTATTTGCACTCCCAGGGAGCGATTGGAAAAAGTGCCGCGGTGAACGGCCAATGACGTGGGGAAGGATCATGAAGAATGCAACCTCAAGTTCGGCGGCAGCCGGACCAGTACGTCTTCCAGGTTGGGGACCACGAGAGGTTGAATCTCAGTGGTTGGAAACATTAGACATCATGGCCCGCAACAGACATCAGTGGAGTCAATTTTGTTCTGCTATTTTACCATCCTTTGATGCACCCAAAAACTCACAAAACAAAACAAAAAATGCAAAATGGCGTGTGTGAAACCAAAAAATCGTTTCCAATATTTTTAATCGCAGCTCATGTTCACATCTTCTTCACTTTTTTATTCTGCCATGATTCTGATGGCACAATGTCTGTTAACAGACTGTGAATATATATATATATATATATATATATATATATATATGTATAGTGCTTTCCGTCATCTGTAGAGCAGTCGGCAGCGAGATCGACTGCTGTCCGCCAAAAGCGAGCGAGGTTCAGGGCGTCAGTTTTTTCTCCTCTGTCCCCAACCGCGTCAACAGAAAGAACTCGCACCGGCTCTGCATGTAAACGCTCTAGTTACAGGTCTCAGGTAAAGTACAACTAACTGTGCTTTTAAAAACTCACCTGCCCACTCGATCGATCGCCTGATCGACCTGAGTTACTTTCACCCTAGACCCTGCGACACGAGCTTGCTACTGTGAGCAAGTGCATTATTAGAGGCGAGCAGTTTATTGTCCCTGCAACCCTCATTCCTCTGGTGGCTGAATGTGTGCATGAACGTCATTCAGGAATTGTGCAAACAAAAGCTCGGATCCGACAATACTATTGGTGACCTAAGTTGAATTCCAGCCTTGAGGCGGATATTAGGGTAGGTTACGCCTTCCAACAATCCGATAAGAGTGCGAGACGAGTGAATGTTCCAGTCCAACCTACCGTGCACCCAATGAAGCCATTAGCAAAATTTGTCATCGACATTATGGGCACCTTTGCCAATGTACCTTCGCAGAAGCTAAATGTACTAGTTGCTACCTGCTTCTACAGTACATGACCAGCGGCTATTCTGTGCGGGGACGTAACTACACCCATCATCAGAGTGGCTTCATTGTTTGTTTGCAAGGTATAGGTTGCCAGAAGAAATCGTCACTGATAAAGACTCACACTTTCGAAGTAACTAATACGCCGAATTCCTAAGGCGCAATGGTATCAGGTACTCGAGGACTGTATTTTATTATCTTGCCGCGAATAGGCTCGTTGAACGACTTAATTTTACTTTGAAAGAACCTCTACAAGTCTTTCGACTTTCTGGATACTCCTGAGATGATGCGTTGATATCTGCCTGAGGTATATTGAACCACTCCACCTATTGCAACGGCAAGGACCCCCTCGGCGTTAATGCTGGGGCGAACAATTCGAACTCGACTGAATGCAGTCTTTAATCCGAAGAAAGCGCCGATCAGAGAGAATACAAAAGATGGGTTGTTTAGCAGGCTAAGTATAGACGCGTTGGGAGAACGTATCCCCCAGGGACATTTATTCGTGCGGGACTACCCTATTCCCGGAAAAGTGGTAATGTGTTCGGACCTCCGACCCGTGTGGAATCTGTGTGCACACCAGGAACTTACATGTTGGCCGATGGAACAATGATGAATGCGAGACGGATGCATACGGCGCTTTCCCAAGGTGCTGTTGAACAGACAAACACATCCACAATATAGCGCTTGAGACGAACTAATATAAACCTATGGAAATCTTGTCGGATAAGCCGCCATATCTATCGATATGCTGTAATAGGTAACACCACATGAAAATTCTTCGGAGTGCTGACATTATAGTAGATCGTACATGGACATGTAGTGCATATATTTTTAAGAACAGAGGAGGGGACAATTTCGGGTTCCAATACTTGCTTTGTTCATGCTTTTGATATGTTTATACCACCCACACTTCTACATAACACTCATTGGCCCAGCCATATGCTCTTGCATCTGATTGGTTGCAATTCTAGCGCCTAACTTTTGATTGTGACACGCATATGTGCAGACAGTTTTTTTCAGACATACGTTCCGCTGCTGCTCTGATCTTCTGCTTCGTCGGGATACAACACGCGGGGAGGGGGAACAGTCATGTATATGCTAAAGAACCAAAGTGAGTTCGGATAACAATTAAGTCGTTTTTCTCCGGTTCATGATAGGCTGGAAAGTTACGGATGGAAATATATGAAACATTGAGAACATGCCAGATAAAATTTAACCTGTTCACAGCAATATGCAGATCCATAAGTGTCTTAAATTCTACTCGTATCTGCTTTCGTCGCAACGGATGAACCAATCGTGGATCACACTGTTAGTTGACTGCGTCGGGGGCTAAAAGCGTCAACAGTCAGCATTAGAGACGCACCAAGAAAACTAGACGGTAACGGGTCAACAGCGGACCATACCATTACCCCGGAAGAAGAAGAATGCTTAGGAGCAGCAGTGTATGTGCACTAGAAAATGATAAGGAGACAGCGCGCTATGTGACCTCTAGGAGAGAATTCGAAGTTGAGTGGAACGTTTAGTGGTTAGAGCTGATGCACATGGTTGATGATTTTGCCACGATGAATAACTCCATACATAGCTAGGATTCTTGCAACTGGGTGTCTCGACGATCGTCGACACACCAGATTCCCGTTAGGCTAAGGTTACACCTTTGGTCATGAGCGATTGTCGTTTGCACTGCTCGGATGCGCCATCGCAGTCGCACGCACAAGATCGCATGATGAATTTTGAGCGAGGTTGACTGTGTCTAGTGATCGCCCTGGATTGTTTGGTAGTGACCGGAAAATACTGGGCGTTCAAGAACCTAAGTTGTACTGTAGCAGCTCACGCAATGGGTAACCGGAAGTAGCCTTAACTTGTTCACACGCCATTGTAATGCTCTATCGAAAGAATGAAAAATGAAGTTGGCTGCACGAATACTGCGAAGTTGCCCACGTGGGTAGCGATGTGACATGTTCCAAAGTTTTGCGAATCCGGGTAAGGGCAAGATGTGTGGAAAATTTTAGCGATAATAAATCCACACAAAGCAGAACGTCAATTTAAGACGAACAAATGCATATTCGTTGTTGTACTATGAAATCTTAGGAGTAAACGCGAATAAAATGAGAGATGCAAAATGCTTGCTATCGTCGTTGGTCGGCAACACGATGTATTCAGTAAATTAGGCACTCAAGTTACTGACAAACCCATACGGAGAGCGCATCGTTGCAGGTTGGTGACCAAATAATCAAGAGCAAAATGAGATTTTCCAAAAGGACCGGATACTACATACAAAACGACAGAGCCCAGGATACACAGGTGCATACTACAAAACTCACAGAATCGAATTAGGTCAAGTGACCCCACAATCTTTCACTTAATTGGATCACACTTATCGAAGTGTTGACTACCATAACCCCAGGTAGCTGGGTTTTATTGTGCTATTCTTTTCACAGATAATAGTGTTATCAAAATAATATGCGCGTGGGTCCTACAACTTCAGGCAAATAGAGAGCGTACGCGATATCGAGGAGTTATCTGGGAATCAGTTAACAAACTGTTCGCTATTACGTGCGGAAGATGTCAATTAGATTGTTGGTGAAACATCCGCAACTAAGTTGCTAATTCAGTGATCAAATCAACACGTCAAGGAAGTGACTACTGAATTTGGAGATGGTCGGATGCTCAGACGCAACACGCGCTTATCGGTGTTGATATAAAAAAGAATCAAGGCACTCGAGTACTAGTAAAAAGGGATGGGCTTAGAAATGATCGATAATGAGAAAAAAGATCAAATCTACCGGTCAATTTTTGCTAACATGGTTATAGGCTAACGACAAAATTCGCTAGATAAGGAATGAGCGAATAAAGTAGCTGAGTACTGGTTATAGACCTTGAAGTTTTAGTAAGCATGGTGAATTATTATACACCTGCAGCGTAAATCAGCGCTCTGTGGTGTGATTTTTGAAAAGCAGTCAATTTACAGTTGCTATATTGTATTCACGTCAAGTGCATGTACGCTATGTTGATGTGTTTCGATTTCAACACAGAATTTGTTTATTGTTGGGGTACCGAGCGTGTTTAAATAACCACCCACAAACACAAGTTGGGGCCCGATTTACTCTGAAGTAGTCATTCTGAGAACTAGTACCGCATGCGAAATGGGGAGTATTCCGTGTTTCTTCCTACCAACATTGCATATTGTCCTGGCTTAGACGCTTTTCGTAGAGCAGTTGGGACGGGAAGTGAGCCTAACAGGGAGTGTTTGACGTCGATATTTTATTCACTAGGCCATTAACTTCTGCATACCGAGGCCTGTGGTATATATTAAGTGCGGAGAGTATGAGAGTTATCAGCACAGTATTAGGGAAGAAACTGACAACCGTTTGGGAGCTACGTTAAGAGTCAACTCAGGAGATAGAAAACTAAATCGTGCAAGAACTTTTCACTGGGTTTTCCGAAGTCCACTTTTGTTGATGGAGTAATTTCATGCTGCATATGCCCCTCTTTTCAAGGATAGACTACTTGAACGTCCTACCCCGAAACATATTAACACTGGCAAAGTACCATCAGATTGTGGGTGCAGAGCTTTGTGCTGCATTTTTATAATACTAGTTCTGGTGGGGCCAGAACACCGTCTCCGATCACTCTGTTACCTTGGCTAGGTGTGACAGCGTCAGCTAAGGCTCACCTAGGCACAGATATCACATATGACGCTTTTCCGGACACGTTCTCAATTGGTGACCATTCAGAAAGCGTTGTAAAACTGAAAACTGGCAAACTATGGTGCCTACCGACGTTACGCTAATCATTAGCAAAACAAAAATGTCTTGATGCAACACATACAAATATTGAAGAGAAAAAAGATTGGACTGAGTCAGTAGAAAATGGAGCTATCAACCTCATAGACTCACTTGCAGTTCTCCTTTTCCGGTAGAAATACACTGTACTTGGAGACCGACATCCCTTATTAAGTTAACCAGCTCCTGTATTCCTGCGTGATAACAGCTGTCACCTGCAAAACATGAGGAAAAACAAGAGGCTGGGTACAAAGTCACCGTACTTACCCATTCCATGCCACAAGATTACAGGTAGCTGTACAGAAGTGGTCAGGTAAGGGCAAGACAACAGCCCACCAAGAATCACACTCCACAGTACGAGTATCATGGTGATGCGGTAGCAAGTGCGGTACTCGTGTGCTGCGTTCTTGCCGAAAACGCTCTTCGATCGATTATAGTGACGAAAGGCAAAGGTTATGGTACGTGAATGCCACACTCGGTGCGTGTGCACATATGCGTACAAACCACTGGTGTCCGGAGACAGTTGTATAAGCGTGAAACGGTCAATCCGGATGGCTGTAAACTACAGCCCCTCGAAAATCGTGCGGAAACGACAGCGGTATGTGAACAGGTGTCTAATGCATGAAATTCCTCCTTCTATTGGAGGTCATGTTCGCATGATACGTAAAGTATAGATGGTAAAATGCTGTGAAAGAGTGGAGAGAATCTAGAAATGCCTAGTGTAATAACACGGTAAAATGAATGCCACAAACTGATTAGTTTCCTTTCCATCAACATAAGAGAAGCACATAACAGGTGTACATTTGTCGCATAAAAGTAAACGTCGGTCGGTGCACCCGATAATGCGGGCGACTTCGAGATTGGCTCCCAAAACCACATAACTCCTTTGGGTTAAAGTGAAGAAAAATAAATCGCTCTTTTAACAGATATTGGTAAATTTCGGTTAATATACTGGCTTTATGAAATATTGGAACATGAATCAGTGGGATAATAGACAGGTAATACGACCGGATGTTGAGTGACAGCACAGCATGAGACAAAATGTATCGGTCATCAGTCGATCATTCTGTTTTATTCCTGTTTGCCATTTGGTCACATTTTGGTGTCCGCTCAGTTACCTTGTCAAATATTGGCAAGGTGAACGTATGCATTATTAGTTGGTGCACGGGGCATCGAAAAGGTGTGAATCGCGATGATGCCAGTTGAGGTGTAGAGTGAAAGACGCGACTGTGGTGTGAGGTGTTGTGATGTCATTCCGAAATCGTGAGTAGATTGGCTGAAGTTGAGCGCGCGTGAAGCAAGATCCACGAGGCATATTAGGTTCCTTATCCGATCCCATCAGACCAGGCTATGCAAGGAATCGTCTCGGACTCATATGTGCAGGGTTCGGTTGCGCGAAGCTATGGCACCATTGCACTTGTAAGCACTCACATTTCTTTCCTACAGACTTGTCACATGTATGACAAACGCCACTGACCAAGCATGACTGAGTAAATGTACATTCTTACATATATTAGGTCATATATGCGATAATAAGGTCGTTAATTACTTCGATACCTTACCTTGGCGCCGAAAACCGAGTGTTTTACCAAATATTGGATGGTACTATACCCGAACGACAGGCAATCGAAAGATAAGACATAATATATTACTTCGCTGCAGCCTAACTACAGTGAGGAAACGAATAAGGGAACCGGCACATAAGGGAGACTTATACAAACGTATCGCATTTTATCAAGCGCAGAGAACTTTCAATAACTGCTGCATTCCATTTGTATGCGTCTGGTGAGCTAGCACATACTTGGTGAGTGGTGCGTGAGAGTCAAACTGACGAACAAACGCGCTATTTCCACGCACTTGCCTTGCTTGGAATTCCGCTGCCAAATTTAGCCACAGTCGTCCCGATCAGGTTGAAGAGTTCTTTTCAAGTCCCAAAGCACTTGTATATACTGCTTTTGGTTTACTACCTTTTCCGCTCGTCTCCTTGGTGTGTTTTACTCCAACACTTACGCACACGCCTCAATAATGCTAGTTTGATTAAACTTTTTTGGTCCCTTACATGGAATAAAATTTTGGGAGCTATCAAACAAACAATTATTCATCCAAAGCTAATGCTGAATAGAGCAGCTACCGGCAAAGTTGCTTTCCGTTTTGACCAATGTTGCCCATTGCATCCCACCAGCGAACCAATGCTGCACCTGTTGCAACGATTCTACGCCTTGCCGCTGCCCCGAATAGAGGGATGAACCACAAGTTCCTCAATTTGCTCAGGCTTGCGTGACCCTGGCCTTGATGCTTGGCGAGAAACTAAACACCGTGCGTGTAACGGTAAGCTATTGTTCCATCCAACCACATAACTGTATCCCGTCTCTCAGTTGGTATATCCATAAAGTACCGCCTGACCCTCGTTACAACAAAGTGGTCAAGTTTTGATAGGTCACTTGTTGTCTACCAATTATCATTATCATTATATTATTCAACACTTGACCAATGCACAATTGGTAGTGCCATAACATATAGTTAGCAACAACAAAAAGGAAGGAAAAACAGGTAGTCAGTGAAAGAATTAGGAAAGTTTAGAAGGTCAAGGTGTTTTGTGGGAAGAGATCTTTCCGGTTGCCCAGGCCGAGGAAGAGGGTTGATTTAAGTGACCCAAACCAGAGCCTTTGGTCTTAAGACCTAAATCGCAAGGCAGCGGGGCGATGAACGAAGATCGTTGACATCCGGGTGGCTTCTTCGCCTTCTTTGTGTTCAGTAGCAATCCACAGAGAAGCCGGTGGCCAGTAAGGTTGTTCATCCGCTCTCCGTTGTATACTCACCTCTGACCACAGAAGTGAGTGGTCATTGACCCTATAGTCGGTCACATTGGCTTTGACACAGCGCCGTACGAGCTCTTGGCGTATTCAATGGAGAACAAGCCTAGCACTCTCCACGTTCTGAGACGCTGCCACCGATTGTCCGTGACTGTTTATTCATCTCGCATGCAAGGTAAATATCCGGGAATCAGATAAAAACATAAAAGAAAAAAGAGAAAGTATATAATGGTGATTGAAAGCTGGGCTGAAGGGAATCGCCTAACCCGTGCGGTCGATCAGGCAATCGATCCAGCGGACGAATGCGTTTTCAAACACCCGGCTAATTGGACTTTTGCCTCCGAGTTGAGAGGACAGTGTTTTCAGCGGCATTATCTGGCTACGTTGGCAGAGTTTTTGTTAACACGTTTTTCGTGGTCAAGACTGTTGGAATTTTGATTTTTCTTCGGCTGGGCTAGCATTTTTGCGAAGAAATTTCTGGGTGGTTAATTCGGAATAGCGAAAAAATGTGAAGATCTAACAATGGCGACGGAAAAGCACGGAAATGTTACAAATTTTTCTACCGAACATTTTCAAAAGCTGCTTCTTCAGCAGCAATCCCAGATGGAAGCACAAATGAAACTGATTGAAAGTTTAACACAGTGCTTAAACGTACAATCAAACGGAGCAGCTACACGGGACATGCAGGCTGTTTCATTTGATCTTACGAATTCAATCACTGAATTTCATTATGATGCTGATTCCGAATCCAATTTCGAGGCGTGGTTCAAACGTTGGGATGATATGTTCCAGACGGATTTCAGCCGTCAAGATGATTCATGGAAAGTGCGTCTTTTGATCCGCAAGCTCGGTACTAATGAACATACAAGATTCCTTGACCACATATTGCCCAAAGAGCCGAAGGACATCACTTTCAACGAAGCAGTGGCAACACTCAAAGAAATTTTTGGTGAGTCGACATCTTTGTTTAGCATTCGCTAACAATGTCTAAAAATTGTAAAGCGTGATACAGACGATTATGGGGCACTAGCAGACATGGTTAACCGTGAATGTGAACGTTTCGAGTTACGCTGTTTGACGGCTGACCAGTTTAAGTGTCTTATATTTGTCAGTGCTTTACAGTCTCCACGCGACGCGGAAATCCGCACTCGGCTCCTTGCTAATTTGGATCAAGACCCAGATTTGACATTGAAGTCTTTTGTAGGCGGATGCAAACGGTTAATTACCTTGAAACACGACACGCCTATGATTGAGCAGAGTCGCCCCACCATTGCCGATACTGTTCATGCTGTGCAAAAAGTAAGAAAGGCTGGCTCGAATAAGTCGTACAACAGAAAGCCGAACAAGCCACCTACACCTTGTTGGTCATGTGGTGAATGGCATTTCGCACGATACTGTCCATTCAAGCATCATATTTGTGATAAGTGCCATAAACGCGGCCACAAGGAAGACTTTTGCCATCAGTTCCGGCCAAGAAATGTGAAGCAGTCCTACCGAAGGAAGAATTTCAGAAAACCTGACGCAGAATCACTATCGGTGATTGTTACGTTTCACAGCGATTCTAAAACACGCCGCCGATTTATCACTATGCTTATCAACGGAATCCCAACCCGGCTGCAGTTCGATACGGCATCAGATATAACGATCATTTCCAAGAGCACTTAGAAGCACATAAAGAAGCCGAAGATGATTGATTCCAACAAAGTCGCCCACAATGCATCCAGTGGAGTGCTGAAGTTGGTCGGAGAAATAAATTGCAAAATTGCATTCAACGGAGTGGAAAAGGCCGGAACCTGCTACTTGTCTGATCGACCAAACTTGAACCTCCTTGGACTTGACTGGATGGAAAAATTACAACTGCTTGATGCTCCAATGAGTCAGCTTTGCAATACAGTACAAACCGACCCAGTACATTCAGCATTGTCGATAGATGAGATGACCAGAAAGCTAAAGCAGCAGTTTGTTACCTTTTGTTCGAAGATTGTCTCGGCCACTGCACTAAGTTCAAAACAAAGTTGTGTCTTCGTGAAGGAACCAAGCCAGTCTTTAGATCAAAAAGGCCGGTACCGTATGCAGAAATGACAGCAGTTGATCAGGAGCTCGACCGACTGGAACGAGCCGGTGTCATCACCCCAGTGAACTACTCTTCATGGGCTACGTCGATTGTCGTTGTGAGAAAGCCGAACGGTAAAGTGCGAGCCTGCGCCGATTTTTCGACTGGCCTGAATGCCGCATTGGACGACCATCAATACCCCCTGTAACGCTACAAGGCGTTTGGAAATTTAAGCTACGCGTTCCCCACCGGAAAATTCAACAAAAGACCAGATCCGGACCTGAGAAAACGGTGCTATTTGTACAAATTCATCGTACCAAAGTAGAAATTACCTTAACGGTTTTCCAAACACAAAAGTTTACCAACAGATTTCAATCAGTTCCACAAAAGGTCCGTAAGTCAAGGTGCACACGAAACAAATGAACACAGAGGTGAGACCGAAGTTATGATAAGGCAATTGAGCCAATCGTAAGCGTCCGCCAACGGGAACGGGCTGAGGAC